ATTTAAAAAAAAATCATTTCAGCAATACTATAATAGCCGTAATGTACTCTATATCACGTGTATAACATGATATTAGATTACCGCTGCGGACTGCGATATAACAAAAAAAATTAAGCTTTTTTTAGCAAAGCTTAATTTTTTTTTGCTTTTCCTCTTTATTCTCTCCTTCCCTTTCGTTTTCCCATTACCTCTTTATTCTCCCCTTCGTTTTCCCCTTCCCTTTCGTTTTTCCATTACCCTTTATTTCCCTTTCCTTTTATTTCATTCTTTTCCCTTTCGTTCTTCCCTTTCTCCCTTTCCTTTTATTCCTATAAAAGTTTTATCCGTTATTTCTGTAAAAATTCCATAAAAATAAGCCTTCACGAATCCATTCACAGAAAATGTAAATAATTTGATAAATTCCGTAATATAAGGTTATTAATTCTGGAGATATGAGCCTTTTATGGAAAAAAGTTGTTTGGTGAGTTTTGCAACAAAACGTTGCAAAACTATTTTTTCATTTTTTAACGAAATATTTTTTAACATTTCAAAATATTTATTTTTTAATTTCTTTAATCAGAATGTTGGCTAACATTCCGATTAATTTTTTATTTCATTTTTTTAACGAAATGTTAAAAAATGTTTTGCAACTAACTTTTTTTTCATTTCTTTTAATCAGAATGTTGGCTAACATTCCGATTAATTTTTTATTTTATTTTTTTAATGAAACATTTTTAATGTTTTGTTAATAACTTTTTTTTCATATTTTTAATTAGAACGTTAGCTAACATTCTGATTTACATTTTTTTTCTTTTTTTAAAGAAACGTTTTTTAACATTTTGTTAATAACTTTTTTTAATTTCTCTAATCGCTCGAAACAGCCAACATTCCAATTTACATTTTTTTTCTTTTTTTAACGAAACATTTTTTAATGTTTTGTTATATTAATTTTTTTCATTTTTTTTAATCAGAACGTTAGCTAACATTCCGATTTACATTTTTTTTCTTTTTTTAAAGAAACATTTTTTAACATTTCATTATATTAATTTTTTTTCATTTTTTTAATCAGAATATTGGCTAATGTTCTGATTTACATTTTTTTTTCTTTTTTTAACGTTTCGTTATATTAATTTTTTTTCATTTTTTTAATCAGAATATTGGCTAATGTTCTAATTTACATTTTTTTTTTAATTGGAACGTTGGCTAACATTCTGATTTTTTTATTTTTTTTCTTTTAACGAAACATTTTTTAACATTTTATAATATAATTTTTTTTATTTTTTTTTAATCAGAATGTTAGTTAATGTTCTGATTTTTTTATTTTTCTTTTTTTAACGAAACATTTTTTAACATTTCAAATTATTGTTTTTTTTTCATTTTTTTAACGAAACGTTAAAAACGTTGGAAACATTATTAACGTTTCATTTTTCTTTCTTTTTTTAGGTCAGCGAATGGGCTTTTGAGTTCTAAAGAACAAAAAACCAAGATTCGTAAGATAAGTACAAATCTTGGTTTATTTTTTTTTATTTTTTTTTTAAAAAATATTATGAACGATTTATACTAATAATCGTTCTTTACTTTTTTTTAGGTTTTGAGCGGACTTTCTAGTTCTGAAGATTCATAAGGTACAGTACGAATTTTTACTTTTTTTTATTTTTTTATTATTACGAACGGTTTACTAATCGTTTTTGTATTTTTTTTTATAGTTCGAGTGATTCTGAAGAACGGAAAACTCAAAGAATCAGTAAGCTTCAAATAAAACTTTACGTTTTTTTATTTTTATTTTTTTATTTTTTTTTTAATTTTCTCTTTTCTTTTTGTAGGTTAGTAGATATCAATTCTTTTGGCTTTGGAACTTGGATATGCCGATATGGTAAGTTTCGATATTTGAAATTTACATTTTTTTTAATTGCTTTTTTTTTAATTTTTCTTTTCTTTTTGTAGGTATCGATTCTTTTGGCTTTAGACTTGGATATGCCGATATGGTAAGTTTTGATATCTTACATTTTTTTAATTATTTTTTTTAATTTTATTCTTTAAGAAATGTTCTAACTGAATGTTTCTCTTTTTTTGTAAGTTCAGCTGATCTCCAAGACTTGGACTTTTGGAAAATGGTAAGTTTCATACATTTTATTATGAAACTTCTGTTTTTCTTGTTTTATTCTTTAAGAGATGTTTTAACTGAATGTTTTTCTTTTTTGTAGGTTTAATTTCTGGGAATATGGAAATTCAGATAATAGTAAGTTTTGTAACATTTTTCGTTACAAAACTTCCATTTATTTTATTTTTTTTAATTAGAAAATGTTTACTGACATTGCCATTATTTTTTTTTTATTAGGCTTCGAATTTTGAATTGCGGATAATAATAGGTAAGTTTCACAACAAAATGTTGCAAAACTTTGACAGACTTTAATATTATACTAATGGTTTCTTTTTATTTTTGTAGGTTTCAAATCAGGTGCTTGGGATAATTGGAATAGTTGGATCGTAAGTTTCATATTACGAAACTTTTATTTCTTTTTAGTTTGAAACATTTTCTAATATTTCTTTTATTTTTTATAGTGAGGTTTAGGACTTTCAAGACATCAATTAGGAGCATTGATATATAAAAATGGTGAGTTTCATTGCAAAACTTTGCCATCTTTTTTGATTTTTTCACTGATTAAACATTTCTTTCATTTTTTAGAAATAATTGTTTTCGAATATTCGAAAACTTTTTTTTTTATTTAATTATATAGATTTACATTAGACAAATATATATTAATATAATTATCGCGTAGAAAAATCAATTAAGTGATTGTCATATACATGCTGCCCAAATTATTTTGGGATGCCATAATTATAATTTGGGATGTCATAATTCATTCAATTTATATATAATTTACTATATAAAGTGCCAAAATAATTTGAAATGCCATAATTGAATTTGGGATTTTACTTATAATTACAGCAGTCCAAAATAATTTGGGTGGCATGTATAGATTGTCAAAAATCACATTCCCACCTTGTTATGGTTGTGTCACAAAAGCGTTTTGTCAATGGAAATTTAGTACATTGATCGCTTAAAAATCTGCGGCAATCCAATTATAATAAGAGGAATTTACATTAGATAATATATTTGTATTGATACGTATTTTATCATAAATAAATTTACATATTTTTTTTTTCAAGGTAGTGCAATTTGTGAGTTTATTAATTATATGTAAGAATATATAAACATCTGTTATATAACTAATTTATTAAAACTCCAAACCAGTTCCCCATCCATAAGATTGCTCCTATGCCCTACCATTACCTTATGAAATTCACCTATATCCTTTAATAGAAGCTATTAAATTATATAGTAAATGTATTTTGTTTAAAATTTAATTATTTAAGATTAGTTTTTTATTTAGTATTGCTTAATAAAATATTTTTTAAAATTTAATTCAATATTACAATATAATTTTTTATAAAAATATATATTTCATAATATATATACAATTTTTTTATATAGTGAAAAAACTGAAAAATGTAGTTAAAAATTGGTAATATGGCTGTAAAAAGTCACAAATCAGACAAATATAGCTAAAATCAGCAATCTGATTTGAATATGCAATTTAAAAATTGGCATATCCAATTTTTGTCAATTCGTACTAAAAAATCAGCTACAAAAAGCTACAAATCGGACAAATATAGCCAAAAATTGGCTATCTGATTTTTTTGCCAATTTTTATTTATTTGACGTAAGTTTTTCTACACTTTAAAGCATCAAACAATACTAGTATCCACTAATATATACTACCCAAAAACTCACTGATGTAAAATCACAATTATTAAAAATTCACAAGAATTTTTGTTAATACTGTTTAATTTTTAAGTTCAAAGTTTGATTGATAATACTAAATTCAAAACTCAATTATAAATCATTTTTATAAATTACCGTATATCACGGGCCATAGTACCCCCTATGCATAGTACCCCTCTTGAAAAATTTCATAGAATTGTATAGTACTTGGGGGATATTTTACAATTATTTCGTGATCTAGTGATCAAATTTGAGCCATCTTTTCTTTGTTTGATAGCTCTCATTGAGCACTTCAAAATAAAAAAAAAGATCGCTCAAATTGGATTGGTAGATCGTAAGATATTCGCAAAAAATGGAATTTTTAGGTTTTGTTTGGTACCCGGGGGTACAGGATCTAACCCCCGATTTTTGCAATATACCCAGGGTACTGTGGCCCGCTATATACGGTAGTATTAAGATTTTAATTTAAAAATTAAGCAGTATCAAGGAAAATTCATGCGAATTTTTCTTAATACTGCTTAATTCTAATTTAACTAATTTAGTAGTATTAAGACTTTAGTTTAAAAATTAAGCAGTATTAAGGAAAATTCTTGTGAATTTTTCTTAATACTGCTTATATTTGCCAATTTGTGGAATTAGCCAAAATTAAGATTTTCATAAAGATTTGCACATTTTAACAAAAATTATGTTTCATAAGCTTAAATTATATGTATTACATAATACACTAGTCGAAATAGTCCAAATCAGCTAGAAATCGGATGTCTGATTTTAGGCTGAATTTGGTGATAAAGATGGCCGATTTATTAATTTAGGCAAAGTTCCAATTGGCAGGCTGATTGATACCGATCAGAATATCGAATTGCTTAGTATTTTTAATTCGAATTGTTTAAAAAAATATATTCATAAATTTACCGAATTGCAGTGAATTTATTCTGAATTATGATAAATTTTGATAAATTGGGATAAATTTTAATCTGAATTGCAGTAAATTTTAATCTGAATTACAGTAAATTTTAATCTGAATTACAGTAAATTTTAATCTGAATTGCGGTAAATTTTCTATTTTGAATTGTGGTAAATTTGCAGTAAATTTTATTCTAAATTTATTCTGAATTGCGATAAATTTGCAGTAAATTTATTTCGAATTGTAATTAATTTTTTTCTGAATTAAGACAAATTTATTTTGAATTAAGGAAAATTCTAATACTAAGAATTTGGAATATTAATTATATATATATATAGATTTTTAACGAAAAAAAGAAAGTTTTCTACCAAATTAATTCAGATTTGTTCATTGCGCGTTGTCCATATGTAAATCAGAATCTGAATTATTATGATTGTCACTGACCGTTGATTTTAATGGTTTTTCTTCTCCTTCCTTGTTATGGTCTTCATCATTTTCGGTGGTGTTGCCAGTTGCTGGTATTGTCTCTCTACTAACTTCTTCTACTTTTTCATCATATTCAGTATTGAAACCCTAATCAATATCAGTATTGAATATTAAATCTTATTATTGTACGATATAAGACCATTTGGGAGCATTCGACGGATGTGGTCAGTCATATTTTTGTTACAACCCTAGCCATGGCAAAAAAAAAGTAACTGACACGTGACTGCATTTTATTCATCATAACTGTCACACCCCACCGCATTTCCACTTTTTATATTTATCTGAGGGACTTAGTTTTTTTTAAGTAGGTAAAAACTTATTCGTCACCCCTTTTTCTTCACCGGTTATTTTCACGTGTTAGTGTATAACGCCGTAATGCAGGCCAAAAGTCACGTGTCAGTCACTTTTTTTTCACCATGGCTAGGGTACTATATTTTTGTACTTCGTCATCATATCTACGTTCACGTATTAATTTTACCTTATTTGACGAGTGTACATCGAGTACATTTTGTAGCAAATTTTTAAGCTGAAGAAACAATAAAATATAAAAATTAAATCCAGCGATTTGTCTGAAAAATCAAGATTTAGAAGTTCTAACCTTATCAGATCTCCACGAATAGTCGTAAATAGCGATTATGGACTTTGTTGGGTCTTCGTCTGTTTCGCTTATTTCTGGAGAATGAAATAAGCGATTGGATAACATCTTTAGTAATCTATGCTTATCATATTTTGTTATCTGTTCATCGTCAAAACTAGATAATCTCTTTACCGCCTTCATTCAGCGTAGAGGTAGGCTCCGAATCTGGTCAATCCGGTCATCCTAGGATCAATCCGTCTAATAGGCGGATTCAGATTGATCAGATGAATCCGTCAAATAGACCGGATGGATGACTGGATATCTGATCAATCCTATACGGGATCAACAAAAAAATTTCCTTTTTTAGGGGACGTCTAAAGCAGAACAGAGTCACGTGATACGCCACGTATTTGCACTGCCACACGGCTGTTTATTTATATTTATTTTTTTAAAAAAAAATTTTTTTATCAGGCTCTTTCTTTCTTTTAAGCCTTAGGATTTACAAATCATGTAAACCTTTTCCCTCGTCCTTTTGTTCGTTTTATGAATAGTATTGTACTATTTTCATATTAAGTTCACGTATTTCAAAAAAAATATTGTAAATATTTTTTTTTTTGTTTTTTTTGTAAGTTTTTTTTATTTAGTCCTTTTTCTTTTCACTAATATTAAACTTATAAATTAATAGTTAAGTTAAACATTTTTTCTGTCTTTTTTGTTGTCATGTCTGTCTCTTCGATTAATACTTCCGCTACCACTTTGGTTGCCGCGCAAATGACAAATATCACTTCAGAAGAAAAGTGGAATCTCCTTTTTGATGTAAATTGCTCTTTGGAAGTTCAAATGGAGGATTTCGATGAAAATTGGAGGCCATTAGTTTCAAATATATGGACACAATGGACTTCATATAAACAAGTAAATGGAAACTTTTGGAAGATCTTTACTTGCCATTTTACAAAGCATCGAGACTCTAGTACACGACAAAAAGAAAATATTTCTAATGAAAAA